ACACTGCCCAAAAAAAACTCACTTTAAATATAAAAAATATAAAAAACGTATTTACAGTCTGTGAGTCAGAACAGCCGGCATTGTAGTCTACTCTACCAGGATCAGGAAACAGTCCTCCATAAAATGTGCTGCACACATCTGAATATTTGGGTTGAAGTGTTCTGGAACAGTGTTGTAAATTCAGAAAAAACTGTAATATTGTAAAATATTATTACAATTTACAAATAATGGTTTTCTATTTTATTATACTTTAAAATATAATTTATTCCTGTGATGCAAAGCTGAATTTTCATCAGCATCATTATTCCAGTCTTCAGTGTCGCATGATCCTTCAGAAACCATTCCAATATGCTGATTTATTATTACTTTTTATCAATTTAACACATTTAACACACTTTTGAATGGTTGTGTTTATTTTTACAAAATACTTCTAGTTTGAATAAATGCTGTTCTTTTTAACTTTTTATTCACCAAAGAATCCTGATAAAAAGTATCACAGGTTCCAAAAAAATATTAAGCAGCAAAACAGTAATAAATCAGAATTTAAGAATGATTTCTGAAGGATCATGTGACACTGAAGACTGGAGTAATGATGCTGAAAAATTCAGCTTTGCATCACAAGAATAAATTATAATTTAAAGTATAATAATATAGAAAACCATTATTTAAAATTGCAATAATATTTCACAATATACATTTTTTTCAGTATTTCTGATCAAATAAATGCAGCCTTGATGAGCAGAAGAGACATCTCTAAAAAACATTACAAATCTTACTGATTACAAACTTTTGAACAGCGGTGTGTATATGTGTGTGTGTGTGTGTGTGTGTGTGTGTGTGTGTTTATATATGTTCTTTTGAACTTTCTGTTAATCAAAGAACCCTGAAAATTGTTTCCACAAAAATATCAAGCAGCATAATTTAAAGTATAATAATATAGAAAACCATTATTTAAAATTGCAATAATATTTCACAATATACAATTTTTTTCAGTATTTCTGATCAAATAAATGCAGCCTTGATGAGCAGAAGAGACCTCTTTAAAAAACATTACAAATCTTACTGATTACAAACTTTTGAACAGCGGTGTATATGTGTGTGTGTGTGTGTTTATATATGTTCTTTTGAACTTTCTGTTAATCAAAGAACCCTGAAAATTGTTTCCACAAAAATATCAAGCAGCAAATCAGCATATTAGAATGATTTCTGAAGGATCATGTGACACTAATGACAGTAAGTAATGGCTGCTGAAAATTCAGCTTTGCCTTCTGGAAATAAATTACATTTTAAAATATATTAAAGTTTTTTACCTTAGTTTTTACTTTGCATGCATTTGTTAAAATAGCATAATACAATTGTGGATAACAGTTTAAACAGCTTAAATCGAAATGTAGGTCTATATGTACTCATAACAGTGACTATGCAAAACATTATAACGGGAGTATTAGAGTAATACTTATTAGCACATTGAAAAATTCTTGACATTTGCATATCATTTTTTAGGGATCACTGACAATGTTTTCATAGGCAAAGAACCCTTTGTTTCTGGTACCCGAAAGGAGCTTGGATGGTGAGATATTTGTTTTATTAATTTATATATGTATGTAGAATAATAGATGTGTTTTCCCACCTAAACATGAAATCAATGTCTCTGAAATTTTGTCTCTCACATTCAGCCTGGTTGTGAATCTCACCTGCCGTGGCTGTTGCTCAGAATTAGGAATTATGTACATATCAACCCCAAAAAAGCTTGATTACAAGAGATCTCTTTTCTGCTTTAATGTTGAAAATATTGAAAGGTAAGTAGCATATTGTGCACAAGCCTGTGTGATTTGTTTTTTTTGTGTGTGTGTGTGTGTGTGTGTGTGTGTGTGTGTGTGTGTGTTGTGAATAAGGTTTTTGGACTCTTTAGTGTAAGATAGTTTTGTCTGGACAGTTATGTATTTACTATACAGTTGTATGCAAGTGACACATTTGTACTATTTCCTACCTTTTATTAATGTCAAGGTCCACACATTTAAGAGATGTCACTGGATATAGGTACATATATGAGATATTACAACATAAAATTGTATTATTTAAAAGTTGCTGTACTGTTTGTTAGTAAAACACTCTTACTGGAGAACATGTTTGTTTGCATCTCATATTTTGTCAGGTGGGATCCTTGTCTTGTCATATGTGATGATAGTATTGATAAGATGGATACACAGGGTGAGCATGCACAATAAATATAATGGTAAAAGCAAAACACGTGTTGTTGTTTTTTTCCCCTCCCTGGTTTGTTTTTGATATTTCATCGTTTGCATCAAAACATCCCTCTGCCCAACCCACTGAAAAACTAGTTCAATAACATGTGGGTGGCGGGAGAAGGGGGGCATGTCGGCTCAAGCCATTCTTTTGTTTACAGTTCCTGTCTAATGTGCCTAGCAACACTCTACACCAGGAGGCGGGAAAAGACTCGTAGAGACCCTGAAGGCGCGCACCCCCAACCCCGAATGCTGGGGTAGCATAACAACAACGGCTGAGATAGAAGCCGTGCGCCTCGGACCAACCAGAGAGCTGTATCTAAGGGGCATGCTGCCATGGAAACAAAGCGCACATGCTGTAGCTAGAGCCTGTTGCCATCGCATCCGTCGTTTCCTTATTTGCCGGCCAGCGAGTCAGCCAACCAGCTTGCGAGGGGGGGTCTGTCAGTCTGATGACATTGCGCTTCAGTCGCTCGTGGGGGCGTGGTCTCCATCTGCGCGCCCGCAGAGAGTTCTTCATTCTTGTGCCTTTGAACTCCTCCTACGATCTGCCTGTAAACCCAGTAGAGTTCAAAATAGGAACAAGAGGTAAAACATGCGTAAAGCACATGGTATTATCCCAGCATGTTTACTGTTTATGTCCAGTAGAGGGAAACATCACTCTACATGTGGCAAGATAGCCATCATATCATATCTAGCTGTACTAGTTGGTGAGGATTCATCTCAGTAAAAGCCCGTTTACACCAAGAACGATAACTGTAACCAAATCTGTCCAAATTGCATTTTCAATGCAGCTTCAAAGGGCTCTACACGATCCCAGCCCAGGGTCTTGTCTAGCGAAACGATCTGTCGTTTTCTAAACAAAATAAAGTTAATAAAAATATATAAATTTTTTTTAACCACAAATGCTCGTCTTGCACTAGCTCTGCGATGTGCGTCTGCAAATTCACGCTTCGTCTGTGTAAGTTACTCCGGGTTAAAAAGGTAGAGTAGGGCGAAAAACTCATTTTCTCCTCCAACTTCAAAATCGTCAACATTGTTGTTTTACCTTTTTTTTTTGTAAAGGGCATTTGACTTACTTTATGCGTTCGCTTTGTAAACACTGGGTTGGTACTTCCATCTACATCATACGCGACCTTTCCAACGTGACTAGTAATACGTGAAGTCGAGCTAGTGCAAGAGGAGCATTTGTGGTTAAAAAGTATATACATTTTTATTTTGTTTAGAAAATTACTGTCGTTTCGCTAGACAAAACCCCTATTCCTCGGTTGGGATCGTGTAGAGCCCTTTGAGGCTGCACTGAAATTGCAAATTGACCTTCAGCCTGTTGGCCACAATTGAAGTCCATTATATGGAGAAAAATCCTGGAATGTTTTCCTTAAAAACCTTCATTTCTTTGCGACTGAAGAAAGAAAGACATGAACATTTTGGATGAAATTGGGGTGAGTATATTATCAGGGAATTTTTTCAAAATCGTCAACATTGTTGTTTTACCTTTTTTTTTTGTAAAGGGCATTTGACTTACTTTATGCGTTCGCTTTGTAAACACTGGGTTGGTACTTCCATCTACATCATACGCGACCTTTCCAACGTGACTAGTAATACGTGAAGTCGAGCTAGTGCAAGAGGAGCATTTGTGGTTAAAAAGTATATACATTTTTATTTTGTTTAGAAAATGACTCGTTTCGCTAGACAAAACCCCTATTCCTCGGTTGGGATCGTGTAGAGCCCTTTGAGGCTGCACTGAAATTGCAAATTGACCTTCAGCCTGTTGGCCACAATTGAAGTCCATTATATGGAGAAAAATCCTGGAATGTTTTCCTTAAAAACCTTCATTTCTTTGCGACTGAAGAAAGAAAGACATGAACATTTTGGATGAAATTGGGGTGAGTATATTATCAGGGAATTTTTATTCTGGAAGCGAACTAATCCTTTAAATGCTCCAGCTCTTTAAAGCCCTGTTGATTCTGATTGGCCGTCAATGTTTTATCTTTTTTTTTTTGTTTAAAAAAAAAAAGGTACTTATAGCATGTCATTATTCTTATATCTGAGGTGTGAACATTCCTATTATAGAACGATTATTAAAACTTTATAGTATTGCATTCAACAAATGCACTCAAGATAAAGGTTACATAAAATATTAAGATTCGCTTCAGTGATTCTTCAGTGTCCTGTTCTCCTGCTTCCATCCTTACAACAGGTGCCGAAAGTTGTGTTTCTGAATCATTCACCCAACCGATTTGTTAAAGGGGTCATATGGTGCGATTTAACATTTTTCCTTTCTCTTTGGAGTGTTACAAGCTCTTGGTGCATAAAGAAGATCTGTAAAGTTGCTAAAGACTAAAGTCGCAAATCCAAAGAGATATTCTTTATAAAAGTTAAGTCAACCACACCTACCTAAAACGCCTCGTTCTAACACGCCCCCACATGTCTACGTCACGATGTGGGAAGATTTGCATAACGCCGCCCAAATGTTCACGCAAAGAAAGAAGGCGTAACTTTTATTCTCGCTGTAGTATTGTTGCCGCCACCGCTATGCCGTGAAGGCGCTGTGTGCTTCGTTGTGAAAGTGAAACTACTTTGTTTAGCCTTCCAAAAGAGGACGATATCTGCTTCGTCATGCCTGGAGCTGATCCGTGCTGGTCGCTGAGGAAATACATCAACTTCGCGCTGTGGATCACTGGATCGGCTTTCACCGTGGATCAAGCAGAGTCCAGCCTGGGGTCGTCACATGTGGTTGACGCAAGCCCGCCGGCCGCTCCTTCATCGAATCCGCCGGCCGAGCCGTTCTCAAGCCCGCCAGCCGTTCCTCACTTTAGCCCGCCGGCCGCCGCTCACTCTACTCACTGTTCCAGAACAGTTCAACCCAAATATTCAGATGTGTGCAGCACATTTTATGGAGGACTGCTTCCTGATCCTGGTAGAGTAGAATACAATGCCGGCTGTTCTGACTCACAGACGGTAAGTACATTTTCATATTTAAAGAATTTGCCACTGACGATTCAAACGCGAGTTTTGGGCAGTGTAGAGCAGCGCTTGTTTTTTTGTCATTTCTCCGATCACAAATGCAGACATGGTTTTATGTTTACGCGGCCCTATGCAACGACAGCGACAGTATAAGTCATTACAATCCGTAATTATGTCCCCACTGGATGCAACAAATGCCTAGTTTATAATGGGTTTTCATGTTTTTGTCTCTTCGCTCCGGCCGGACAGGGCACAACAGTATGGTAGGGGTGTAATATTTCCGTCACATGCTTGAGGTATTCGGCCAATCACAACGCACTGGATTCTTTTTAGCAACGTCATATGACCCCTTTAAACAACTCAGAGTTGTTCACTATGACATGTCTTATTGTTCTTTATTAGAATGTGAGTGACTTAAAGGGTTGGTTCACCCAATAATGAAAATTCTGTCATTAATTCCTAATAACATGTCGTTCTAAACCCGTAAGACCTCCGTTCATCTTCAGAGCACAAATTAAGATATTTTTGATGAATTTTGAGCATAAAGTAGTTATTTTTGTTTTCTTTGTGTACAAAAAGTATTCTCGTAGCTTCGTAAAATTACGGTTGAACCCCTGATGTCACATGGATTATTTTACTGATCTCCTTGCTACGTTTCTGGACCTTGATCGTGGTAATTGCATTTCTGTCTATGGGAGGGTCAGAGCTCTCAAAATTCATCAAAAATATCTTAATTTGTGTTCCGAGGATGAACGGAGGCTCGTTCGACCTGAAGCTGCGCACCCCAAAGTACCGCGAGAGCGATTTGAAAGCATAAGGAGCCGTCCGCTCTGCTCTCTATAGCTCTTGTGAAATGATGTCATACAACGATCGAAATGCACGGTGCTAACAGCCAGAACCTGGATATTTTAGGCAATATAAAAATCCTGGCAAGGGTGCGTCCCGTAATAATGGCCCGTATGGTCACCCTACGCATGTGCGACCTTACAAAAATCATATGGTGCTCGCGTATTATTCTGGTGACTAAATTTGCATCACGTACTACACTGTAAAAACCGAAGTATGCTTTACTTTGGCCTTCACTCTTTTACGAAGGAGACGCCTGGTTCATTTCTTTCACGAAGTACATGTCTGGTTCAGTGCCTCATCAAATCTCAAACTCGTACATTGAAGAGGCATTTTCGTTCATGAGTTAAAAAGAATAATTGAAACGGAAAAATATATGAATTAAAAAAATGATGCGATTCGTTTAGTTCAAATTAAAAACACAGATTTGTTCACCAATGAAAGACGACTGAACTGTACATATGTTCGTGTCTTTGTTAATTTATGTATTTTTCTCCCATAGCCTAATTATTTTCACCTGCTCCGCCAGCCGCTGTCATTTTGATTAATGGACACTGGCTGCAATCTGCATCTGCAAAGTGCATCTCACTTGAACTGAAGTGCTGATGGCGCGCTGCACTTTCAGTATGATCTTACCCACCCCATTCACCTCGCTCTCACACAGACATACACACACGCACGCACACTTTGTCCTGGAGGACTGGTGGGCTGGAAATCAATAATGTAGACAGTGTGATTAAGCGA